GTCAAAGCTTGTTTACTTATAAATTTTAATTTTCCAATAATACTAATTTTTTATGACTTTTAATAAAGACAATCACACACATGACTATTCAGATAGCTTCTAACTCTAAGAAAGCCTTCTAACTAAGCCTTCTAACACTAAGAAAGCCTTAGGAGCTATAAGATTAGTTTAATCAAACACATTTCTAGTAACTCTCCAAATTGTGTACTTTCCCTTCAATTTCAGAAAATCAACCATAAAAGGAATAAGAACTATGTGCTTTATTATTCTGAAAAAGAGAAACAGAGACAAGCTGGATTGTCAGGGAAGAGGAGCTCTTTTGGAGTATAATATGCATAAAATTGTATTGTTGGAAAAAACACCATTTGTCAGCAGGCTATAGCTTTATAAAGTAAAGATTTACTTTATAAAGTAAAGATTCTGTGCTGAGAATATTCTAAATAGGTGGTTAGTTGTTTAACTGCATTCTCTCTAACACAAATCATTCTTGTAACCTGCCTCAATGAAGGCAGCTCTACTTGAAAATACCACATTTTCAATCTCAAATCAGGTCAAAAGGGATGGGGATGGGGTGAGAAGAACAAGGAAGAACAAAAAGGGGGCTTAGGAAATAGTGAGGTTTAATCTCTTAAATACTTGGGTCATTTCCTGGGAGAAAAACATCCACTAAGAAGGAAAATCAAACCTCAAAAGAAAATACAGAGGCTACAAAAGACACCGGAACTAAGGTGTGACAGGAACAGAGAAAAGTATTGATTCATCTGTTACAGATTTTGTTAGAAACAGGGTATCTGTAAACACAGATAAGAAAATACACAACAGAAGAAAGTAGTTAAGACTTAATAAAGACTAAATAAACCATTAGGAATTCTGAAAAAGATTGATATAAGCCACATCATTTGATTCACTCAGAATATTCCCCTAAAGTCATCAGTATTCCATTATGTACCTATTTATTGACTTCTAAAATTCCTTGCAAGAATTATTGTAAGTTGGGCTGGGGATGTAGTTTGATGGTAGAGTAATATTGCCTTCACATGGGTGAGGCCCTGGGTTCAATATCCCATTATATACACACATGCACACACACAAATTGTTCTAAGCTTCTTGGGACATTTGCTTTTCTTATGTAATACACTCATCTTTGTTGAATTTTTGTCTGCATTAACTCTAATATGCTTCATTAGTATTGACATATTTTCCTAAAAACTTGTTTTCCTAAATTTCTCATGATAATAATCTCACCTAAAAAATCAAAGTTGTTGTAGAAACACATACAATGTATATAAAGAAAGACAATATTGATAATAATAATATTTTTCACATAGCAATATTAAGAAAACATTCATAAATACTAAATGTATTTTAGTGTGTGTCACTCAATAGTGATGCATTCTTAGAAATGAATCATTAGGTGATTTTTGCCATTGTGTAAACAACTTAAGAGTATATTTACACAGAAGTATCTGATATGACCTATCTTACACCTGGGCTGTGCAGCTGATTGCTACAAACCTGTAACACATTACTGTACTGAATGCTGCCGGCAACTAAAACAAACCAAACATATTTGTGCATCTAAGCATATCTAAAATAGAAAAGGTGCAGTAAAAGTCCCAGGTAACAGGAATCCTTCAGTTCCATTATAATTTCATGGGATTGCCATTATAAGTGTTCTGCCAATCACTACAATGTTCTGTGTCACACTACTGTTCTGACATGTTTAACAGTTTGTGGTCCTAAATCCAAAAATGGAAATAGATATTACTGAATCATATAACAGAATAGAACTTTACTGGGTTTGTTTATTAGGTATTTAATAAGAAAACTGTCAAATATTAAATCCTAAATCTGAAGTTTGCCTTATACTAATGCAATAAAGGTCTTTAGAATGTGTTGGACATCATTTTCCAAAGTACATGTATGAAGACTTGAATGGGGTGTTAACATACTTTATATATAAACAGATATGAAAAGCTGTGGTATATATGTATAATAAGAATTGTAATCCCAAAAAACAAAACAAAGTACATGTATAAAAGCATGAATTGGGGTGAACATACTCTATATACAAAGATATGAAAAACTTTATTCTATATGTGTAATAAGATCTGTAACGCATTCCGTTGTCATGTATTTAAAAAAATAAAATCAATAAAACTAAAAAAAAGAATCATGAAGATATTAAGTATAGCATTTCCTCAATAATAAAAATCATTTAAAACATCTTCCTCAATTACTCTTTAGAAAAGAGGCACATTCTAAATTCTAGGTAGTATTTTTAATGGCACAAAGTAGTTAATGCCCCAAAACTCCATGAAATGTTTTGGGAAAAGGCATAGGGAAATTCAATTGCTCTAAATAATGGAGCAGAAGCTTCTTAATAATAAATAGCTGAGAGACTAAGAAAAAGGATCTAAGCCCTTGAAGCATCTGTGTTCAACATAGGCCATTAACATATTGCTAAAAATTATAAGAACTAAATATTAAAGAAGATTAAATAACTCACAAAAGTATAAAGGGAAATATCTAAGGGGAGAAGAAATATAGCTTGTCCTGGTTCTGCCATTCTCTCAAAAGTCTACATTTTACATGAACACATATGTAGCCTGATTACTCTTCAGTAAAATGACAACACTCATATCTGCCAGGGAGGGTCTTGTGGGGATTCAATAAAATAATGTATGTAACCATTTAATCTATGTAGTAAATGACATGTAGCAAGTATCAATAAATGGCAAGAATTTTAAAGTAATGAATTTTTTCAGCATTGAAAAAATGCACTTTATGCTTAAGAAAAGAAAACAGTTGCATGTTGATCTATATTAGGATTAATCAACCAGGGAAGGTCTAAGGGTAAGATACTGAACATTTTAATAGCTTACTCATGCAAAAGAACCCAGCCTTTTTGTTAAAAAGTCAGACCATTTTCTAAACCCAGAGTGCCTGATTTTTGTATTGAATCAATCCACCTCTCCAATGAGCCACAACAGTTTACTTTAGAGTTTATACTTTCCTTTACATTATTTTCTTTTAAAATCATGTTGAATTTAGTAAATGAATTTCAATCCTGCATTACATTTTTAACTGAAACAAAATGAAAATAATTTAAACAAACATGACCATGCTATATGGTATAAATTAAACCAACATATACAGTAGCTAGTAGGAACACCTAAGTTTATAATTCTTATTTAGTGGAAGAATCAGATAAATATTTTAATAAGCAACATATTCATAAAGCAGTCACTAAAGTTTCAGGATTATCAGAACTCTCCAATACAGAAATATTAAGGTAAGGAATTGAATTGCCCATTCCTAAATATTTATGAGAGAAAAGAAACCTTGTGGTAAACCATGATCCTTTTAAAGTGCATGAGAAGTTCTTATTTATATTGAAGTGATAAAGTAGATGATATTTTACCAAGAGTTGGCATAGAATATTGGAGTAGAGATCTCAAAGAAATTCTATTGAAATACAGGAAACCAAAGAGACAACTGTGAAGTTTGTTACTATTAAAAAATGAAGATGAAATCTACAAACTGACATTTTACTTCTGCTTTCATGTTTCAAAGTATGAAAATGAAAAATATAAATGTAAGTTTTTTTAAAAAAAGAGGTTCACCTTATTGTATATTATAATAAAATGCCTTCCTAGAATAAGATTCTACCTTATTTCTATGTATTTAATAGGATCTTATTATGCAACCCAGGTATAACTATCCCACTTCCAAGATGGCCTTTGAATTTCATTTCTTTAAAAATTCACTCTTGAACAATAAATGTTCAGTAAGAGTTTTATATTTTTCATAGAAGGGCCTATAGACATAATAATTTAAGAAACATAGTATAATTGAGATTTCAACAAAATGCTTAATGCTTTTTCATAACAAGGAAGATCAATATATCAAACTTTACTAGGTTTAACTTTCTCTAATCAACCACACTACAAATAACAAAAGTTGAAACTGTCTCTTGATCTCTTTCATTACGATTTTTAATTTTCAATTTATTTCTTGGTGGTCAAATTTCTATTTTTGAAGCATGTTCATTTCTAACTCCTGAGTAAAGTGTTGCTGCTTTAAATAAGTGCAAAACAGGCAAGTTTAGAACTATCTCTTGGCTCAGTAAACCAGCTGATCCCCAGATATTTTGCTCCTTCTGAGACATCAAAGGAAGCTGGAACCTGGGATTTGTTTATGATCCCAGGTGTTTTCTATCTTTGGGATGAGCTGAATATCTAAAATGAGACTACAGGATTTCCTGAGTGATTTTCACTAAAAAAAAAAAAAAAATCCCATGAATAATTAACTAGTCACTTCAAAAAAGGTTTTGCGATGGTAAGTCTTCCTTTGGGTAAAAAATTCAGAAAATGTTCCACTTCAGATTGTTTGATACTTCATTATTCCTAAAGAAAAAAATATATATATTCCTGGCCCATATCATATATCTGACATAAAGGTTGCAAAGATATCCTTCTGAAGCTTTAAAAAAGTATACTGTGAAGAATGCCTTAACTCATAAAATCCTTGTACCTGTTATAGTCTATTTCCCCTGGAATATATTTCTAAGTCACCAAGTATTGACAGCATGTGAAGTCTAGTTATAATTGCTTCTATGAAATTCAAAAGTAATCAATTTCTGTACCACTATATGTACATTATTTAGCTATTTTCCCATTTGCTCAGACCTGGACAATGCAGGATTGGCATGGTTCTTCTTCAACCTTTTCTTAAATACTTTATATTATTGTATCAAGAAAAGAGTGTCAAAATAGATTTGTTGTATGGAAATATTAAAAATAAACACTGCAGGAATATGCAGGAAATATTTAATTCTTCCAGTGGTGGGGGAAGGTCTATGATCCTCAAAAGCTAAAATCAGCCCCCTTTTTTCATTTGTATGATTACTTAAATTTTTTCACAGATAATGTTTTATAAATTCATGTAAAACAAAGATAAATATTTTTTCTTACAAGAAAAGACAGGAATATACATACTGTAAGGGACACATTCATACTGCACTTCAAGGTATTTATAGGTTCCTGGACATGGGTCCGGAAAAACATCAGGGCCTGCCACCACTGCACATTGGGTTCTGTTATTGCATCTGAAATAATAAAAAAAGAAGAAACAGTAAGTTTGTGTTAAGTTAAATCATTATCAACATCAACACTAACTTTAATTTAGTTCTAGTTACCTATTTAAGTAAGATTTTGATGGACTTAGGGCTGTAGAGTGATTAAGGGAATCATTATCTATAGTATTCTTTTAAAAACTAGACATAAAAATCAATATATTCAGTTTTCTTATATTAACTAATGTTTGGTTGAATACATCATAATTTTGAGGCAAAAGTTAAGTTCTGCTGAAGCAACACAAACTGGTCCATAGAATATTGCCAATGTGAAGATGGGTAAGGAACATTGTTCAACAGGAAAGATCCACCCCCATTTCAAAAAAAATGTCCTGAAGAAAACATAATCAGAGTTTCATCAGTTATAAAATAAATTCACTGATTGTGATGATATACATTTTAAAGACAGTGAAAAGTGACAAATATTACCCAAGCCTTTAAAAAAATCAGTAAAAAGTTAATATTCATATATTAAAAATTTATATTTTAATTTATTTTACATATACTCCTTACTACATAAATAAAACCATTTTAAGAATTAGTATGTACACACAGGCATATGGCACAGTGAATTCCAATATCAAGTCTATCCACATGAAAAAATGAATGAATTGCCCAAAGATTATGAATAAATTGAATAAATGAATAAATTGCCCAAAGATCAGTAGAGTACAGGAACAGCGTAAGGGATGGGAAGTGCTGGGGACTAAATTATAGTAAATTCTATTCCATACTTTTATGCTTATATCAAAATGTATCCTAATGATATATATAATATAAAAAAATAATAAAAATGATTCATTCCCATTTTCCCTTCTGTTCAAATAATGACACTAAGTTCACAGATTATAGATGCCAAACGTCAATATCCTATCTATATAATTTAAAATTATATCTTATTATATAATTAGTATATTCTCTTATTATAAAGAAGATAATAAATATGATTATTGTAAAGAGAGATATAACTTGGGCACTTCTATGATAATTAGACTAATAGACCTGGACTTAATTTATTTTTCAGAAAAAAATACATGTAATAAAATAATGTGGAAAAAATACTGAAAAAGACACTCAAGTTCACAGGGACCTCACTGCTACAATTTTTACTTAAAAATCTTTCTGTATTCAATTCTTCTTTCCATAAGTAAATTTTTCTGTAGAAAAACAATGGTTTATCCTACCCGTAATACTGGCACAGAATGTATAGGATGAACCCATTAGTTATTCCTGGTGTATGTTTGTGTTTATTCACTTCAGAAGTGTTTATTCAGAAATGTAATATAACCTCAGGGCTAAATGTTTTCCATTACTTTCTCAAAGAAACACTTCATCCCTGATGCAGTCCATATTTCATAACACATGAGGTATCTTGATTTAAAATGTTTACTCAAGGTTACCATTTGTCAGGCTTAATGAGAATTTTACTTAGTCCCTAAATTAAAATTGATTCATCAGTGATATCTTAAGCTGAAAATATATTCTATGCTATCAGTGAAAGATAAATAAAAGCCGATATACTCATTGGGCAGTTCAGACTAACAGTGGATTCTGAGGGTGAATGAGTTCTAAAGTTCCCCTGTGTGGATGCAGTGTCTGAGCAGATGATTAAGCAACTGTATGATGACATTAGTGTAAATGTGACCATCCTCTTACATGTATGCCAAACTTACAACTTGATATTTTGGTGTACTCATGCTTCTTAAAAAGAGTGGTACATTCTTATTACAAAGATGATTCATTTGAAAAAGGTATCTCAAATTAAGTGATGTAGTTTTTGCAATTATACCAAAACAATTTTCACATTACATTATAAATTACATATAGATAACTTACATACAGATAACTTATCTATATGTAAGAAAATTTGATAAGCACTCATTTGTTGTAAATATTAGTCACCATTGTGAGCTGCAAGAATCTTAATGTTAATTAAAGATACATCAAGGAAGCCTTCAATCAATGAGAATATGTGAAGAGGCATATAAACCAAAAATTACTATGACAGCAATATATTTATAGTCTTCATCATTGTTGTATACAAAACAACACTGCTTTACAAAATTCATTTGCAAAAATAATCTAGAATTTTATTACTATTTCTGTATCAAATGCTCTTAAAATTAAGGGAAAGGGCATATTCAATCCCTATAATATTATTTTTCTTAAGACAAATTTTTCTTAAGACAAATATTCTTCATACCTAATATTAAATGTATTTTTAGAACTATAATAAAGGATGATAAAAGAATGCAATAATATGTTCAAATACATCCTAATCCAGCAATACAGAGAAAACATCAAAAATGTATAAAAGTAATTGAATCATTATTTACAGTGATAAAAATTCAAAATTATTTTCATTGGAAACTTTCTGTGAAAACAATCTTCAAACCAACATTTGTGTCACCAGAAGATGACAGTAGTAAATATCGTAGAGAATTCTTAAAAAAAAAAAAAAAAAACCTCTTGGAAATTCAGGTTTCACAAAAACATTAGGCCAGTTTTTGCTGCTGTTGTTGTTGTTTAATTTCCTCATAGGGTACAGTTTTTGCTACTGTTAACCATTATCATCATTTGTCATTTGTTTCAGGTTGGGTTAATAACAATTCATTACAGATAGTACGAGTTCATTTGAGATAAATGTAAAACAAAGGAGTAGTGATAGAGGAAAAAAACACAAATTCTGTGAATTGAGAACAGAAACAGAAAACAATTCACTCTAAAACAAAAAGCAAATTTAAAAAACCCAACTACAACACAAGTTCTTTATGAAAACTTAGTTTGGATAACCCAAGTTTTATTAGAAAAATAACCCATATCTGATAATACTTTAAACTTGGCATGTTCACTTACATTCTATTTGAAATTTATTTTATTTTTACATCTTTATTGACTAATAAAATCTTACATAATTAAGGTATAGAATTTGATATTTTGGTATAAGTATACATTGTGAATGATAACCATAGTCACACTGACATAATAACTGACATAACCATCATTTCACAGTTATCATTTATTGTGATGAGAAAATTTAAGATTTATTCTCTTAATAAACTTCAGGTATGCACTAGTCATTATTAACTGTGGCTACCATTCTATAAGTTAAGTCTCCAGAGAATGTTCTTCAAGAATTACTGAAACTTTACACTCTGATCAACATCTCACCATTTCTCCTACTCCACTCCCTCATATCTTGGTAACCTCCACTCCACTCTCTGCTTCTGTCAGTTCCCTGTGTGTGTGTTCCAGAATAAAGGTTTTGAGTTTAATTTGCTATGATTGCAATAGAATCCCCAAATGCACAAAATTTATTCTTATAGATATGAAAAAATGTGCAAGATTTAGCAGACCAATAAAGGCAAACTTGTAAAGTACCTTATAAAAATCAGTGTACTGATGTGTTTTGAAACTTGATGTATTTTCAATTTAATCTCACATAAAATCTCAAAATGTGATATACATTGAAAAATTAATAAAAATTTGTTGATTCATATTAAATCAAATATATATTTTATTGTTAATGGCTATTTGATATTTATGAACTAAAATAGTTTTATTTTGACAAAACACAATTTAAAGACAAAATTTTACTACAGTGCATGATACTATTTCTCTATATTCTAAAATATTTTGGTGGAAAATTAAAAACCATAAATCTCTTCACGCATATGTATACACATATACATACATACACAAATGTTTCTGTGTGTCAACTTTAAGGACTTATGAAACTGAACCAATAATATTCTGTAAATAAAGAAAAAAATTTGAAAATAGAGATTGAATTTTTTTTTTTTTTCAGTGCTGATGATCAAACCCAGTGTGTTATGGTTTGGATCTGAGGTATCCCCAAAAGCTCATGTGTGAAACAATGCAAGAATATTCAGAGGTAAAATGTGGGTTATGAAAGTGGGTTATGAAAGTGTGTGGGTTATGAAAGCCTTACACAATCAGTAAATTAAAGGTAGGTAGGGTATGACTGGAAAAAGTGGGTCACTGGGGGCATGCGTCTGGGGTATATAATTGGTAAGCTGAGTTCAGTCTCTCTCTCTCAACTGCCTGATGATCATGTGAGCCACTTCCCTCTACCACACTTTTCTGTCAAGATGTTCTGCCTCACTTGATCCCCAAGGAATGTAATCTGGTGTTTTTAATTGAGACCTATGAAACCATAAGCCCCCAATATAATTTTTCTCCTCTACAGTTATTCTGGTCAGGTCTTTTAGTCACAGCAGTGAAAGTGCCTTGAGCTCAGGAGTTATAACCAAACTCTGAAAGTACAGTTGTCAGGTCGGTTTATCAGATACCAACAGACAAACAGTGATAAACACCCCTCAATCAGTGGGATTTCCTGACCCTAGAAGGACCTGGAGCTCAGCAAGATCCCCCAACCAACCCCAGGAGGACAAGGAACCCTAAAACCCTCCCTTCCTGTCCCACGCTCTCCCTTCCTGCCCTAAACCCCAATGAAATTCCAGTCCAGCTGAGCCTGGGCATGTCTCCTCTGGACCCACTCTTTTGGACTGGGGGAGGGTCTGGCCCTGGAGTGAATCTCAATAAAGCCTTGTACAGCAGCTTTTAATCTGCCTCCTTTTGTCACCAGTGCCTGACCTTACAATAGTGATCTCACAAGAAAATCCAATTTCCAAATATTCCACACATTCCTGGCAATGTTTGATAAAGCAAATTATCATAATCATCAGTCAACATTCATATAATTTTTTGAGGCCTATTCCAAAAAATAAAATGATTAATTGTTTCAGATACATGCGCATCAGTCATAGAAGTAGGTTTCCAAAATAAATGAAAATGTGTTTTAATATTAACAAACTCATATGTATTGCTAGGAAAAATATTTCAGTACTGGTTCTGTAACAGTGATTTTGAAAATAAATCTTTCACAAGTTGAATTCTATAACAATGGCTAGATATAATTTTGAAAAAATTCATTGAACAATAAATGGAAT